TCAAATAGTTCTCGGCAGCCACTACGCTGGCATTTACACACGATACGTCGGTACCGATATCTTATTGAAGATTACTGAGCGAGTTACAGCGGTTGTACACAGATTAAGTAACATAAAACACACTTTGATCAGTAGAAGGTGTGTTATTTAGACCAAATGGAGAAAGTTGAAATCAGAGCCGTCATTAAGTACCTCTGTAAGAAAGGGATGTCCCCCAAGGAAATCCATGAAGACTTCATGGATACACTTAGGAAGGAGTCCCCTTCCTATAGGACTGTGAAAAAATGGGCTGCTGAATTTAAGAGGGGTAAGGAGAGCAATGGAGATGATGAGCTGCATGGGCGGCCAAAAAAGGCCACCAACGATGAAACTGCCGAAGCTATGCACGATCTGGTGATGTGTGACACAGGGCGAGACCTGCGAAGCATTGCAAGGGATGTGGGTATAAGCTTTGGTTCAGTTCAGGCAATTCTGACTGATGTCTACGGCATGTCAAAGGTTTCCGTTTGATGGGCCCCCGGGCAGTTGACTGAAGACCAGAAACGGATCAGGCTTGACATTTCAAGATATCATTTATCTCGCTACGAGGATGAGCCTGATATTATCTACCGGATCGTAACAAAGGATGAAACATTGGTCCATCGATCCAGAATAAAAAAAACAGAGCATGCAGTGGAAGCACCCTGGCTCACCCTTTCGAAGAAATTCGAGAGGGTGCCATCAGCAGGGTAGATGATGCCTGCAATTTTTTGGGATAGTCAGGGGATAATCATGATTGACCATCTTGAGCAAAGTCGTACCATAAACGGTACGTATATGCAGACGAATTGCGACATCTGCGTCAAGAAATCGTGCGTTAAAGCAAGGGCGCTAACTGATTCAAGGCGTTCGGCTTCTGCACGACAATACGCTAGCTCAAACATATCAAGTTGCGATGGCTGCTGCAACAGACTGCGGCTTTGAAATTCTTCCCCATACCCCAAATTCTAAGGACTTGGCTCCTTTTGACTTCGACCTGTTTTCGAAACTGAAAACCAAGCTTCGTGGTAGACGTTTGGGAAGCAATGAAGGTGTCATGGGTCGGTCAATGAGTTTTTGACGACCAAAATAGAGAGTTCTATTCTGAGGGGTTAAACAAGTTGGAGCACAGGTTGGTAAAGTGCATTGATGTAGAGGGCGATTTTATTGAAAAGTAAGACCATTAGCTGGGTTCTCTGACTACCGGAAGTACATCGGGCCGGGAGCTTTTTGATCAATCCTCGTATGTTTCCAAAAACAACACAATGACATTTTACAATGACGAAGGAATTTTTTACAAGTGTTTACTGTAGATCTTCCGTGCTCATCACGTGACCAACACGTGACCATTTATTTTCAAGTCATGAAACTTTTATTAACATTAATGTTATTTGAAACAAATGTAGTTAATACTCTAATTATAATGCTATGTCAATAATTTATTTCTTTTTTAGAAGGGTCAAAAAATTATTTAATAATGTTTAATAATTGATTCAGAGTATATTTATGGTGGCTCATTTGTGTCATGTCGTATTTACGTTCCGTGGGGCGCCAAAGAAAAACACGAAAATATGACAAAAGTTACCCCTTTTTTCGAACTTTTGCTCCGCGGGGCGCAATAAAATGATCACTTTGTCTTTATTTCGTATCTTTACCTTTTGCTCCGTGGGGCGCCAGACGAAAACACAAAATTACCATAAAATGACGCAAAAAAGGAACAAACGAGGCATAGTGATCACCTTGTCGTATTTTCGTGTTTTCGCCTTTCGATCCGTGGGGCGCCAGAGGAAAACATGAAATTACCATAAAATCATACGGTAATTACTTTGTCGTACTTCGCTCCTGTGGGCGGGGTATGGGACGGACAAGTGGAGTGAAAATACGACATGGCACAAATCAGCAATCATGCATATTAGATGTTTATCATCAGAAAATGTGGCGATGCATGTTAAATAATTTATCAAAAGGTAGCAAAGCGTAAGAAAAGTGGTATTTAGACTTCATTTCAAAATACGTAATCACTATAAGTACAAATGATGCTGTATTGCAGTAATTGAGAAACTCCGCGCAAAAAAAAATGTGATCATTAATGATATTTTACCAAATCATTCCTACGCAAAGGTCATGTTCAGATTTAATACTATTATAGTACATTATTCCAGATGTTTTGTAAATCATTTATTGCATAATTATGCGTCCATGAGAAAGGAACAAGATATTAAATTAAAAAATATGCTTTCACTGATGACTACTTGGTAAGGAAAGTAATTCCAATACAAACAAGACTTAAAAGACTTGTAGATGTAATGAGACATGGCAGTAGTGCAACATTGTTCTGTTTGTGTCACTAATGTAGTCAGTAATATTAGATGATAAAAAATATCAAAGCATGTACATTTTCTTTTTCACATATAATGCTACTCATTTTCTACAAATAGCAACAACTAATCATGGTAAGTAATATAAAAATCCATATGTAAATAAGCCAAAACAAAAACTTTCATCGACTTTATTTTTCAAAATGTTCTTTACGTGTTTCGCGGCCCCTGGTATATCATTATATAACAAGAAAGGCATTAATGCAAAGCATCAAAGAGCGTCCAGGCAAGAAATGCGACAAATGATGATGAACAAGCGACCAGATATTCTTATAAATTTTCATCTTTATTGTATTTATCAGAATTGCATTTTATAGATAAATGGGCGGACGAAAGATATTGTACTTCAAGAACTTTGGTAGGCTAAATAGAGGTTAGAATATTTAATGATTTTCTTTTGATCAAACAAATCACAATGAACAAAGTCTGTTTTTTTTTATTATTATAATTGTAACAATTATACAAACAATAAATAAAAATAGTACAATACAAAACAATACAATACTATACTAATATAATAATATTACATGCATTTTTTCATGTCAAATTTAAAGGAAAATAGTTTCCATTGATACCTGGGACTTAAGATACATTAGTTATATTTAATGTCTCAGATAAAAAGTGAAAGGAAACCACACACTGTAATGAAATAGAAACAGACGCATGGTGTTTGAATGGTGGGCTGGTGTTTTGTACAAAAAATTATACACTTTATATACGAGAAGGAACAAAACGCTTTGATTAGGGGATTTGGCCTTATATTGCTCCAAAAGAACGGGAAAAAAAATCCGCAACAGAATCAAGCAAATGGTGTTTTAACGGTTGGCTCGACAACATAAAATGGTGGACTTTTTTTTACAAAATAATATACACTTAATTTACAGAAAGAACAAATTGCCGGTCTAAACACGACCATGCCACTTGGAAATTTTCTCGGCAATTTTGCTTGGCCTCTGCCTTATATTGTTGTAAAGGAGACCCTCGAAACTAATGGAAAAGTGAATCCACAACGCAATCACACAAATGGTGATTTAACGGTCACTATATGGACACCGTATAAAGTTGTCGTGGAAGTAATATTTATTATATTTATAGTACATCTAAGATCAAATTATATTTCACTAGTGTGCCAAAAATTTACACAATTTCACTCGGAGCTATGTCTCTCATAATAACAATAACAATGATTTTTTTTATTTAACAAAGGTAGCTTATTAAGACAATATATTAAAGCATCAGAGTTAACACATACATGTATAATGCAAACTCTTATTTTCAACAAGGCCTTCAATAAACATAACAATAGACATATTAAAAGCAATTTTAAAGATTACAACATTCAGAACATCGTAACCAACAAAGAAGACAGACATAATTTTATATAATAGTATAGGCATATTGTCTATAATCTTGAGATAATAATAAAATGTTTGAAATTTGATTTCAATTATGCAGTTATTAATTGCTGCTCATAAAACTCAATCTAAGACTTGTTACTGATAGCTGGCCTGTATAAAAAAATTAACAATACAGATTTATTGTGTGAAAAATTAACCTGTAACCAAACAGATTCCACATTTTGGGATTCTATGCTGTTTCGCCATGTATTAGAAACAGTATCTCTAATGTATATTAAAATTCCACCACCACCTTCAAAATCCTGTCTCTCCTTTCAAACGTATTTATGATTATCAATATTGAGATCCTTAATTATCTTCTATTGAATCACATAAAAATGTTTCGCATTTGATTCATTAAGTATCACAGGTATTTCATTAATTTTGGGCATAAGAAGTTGTACATTTTGAAAGCTTATATGCAACCATTTAGTGCCGAAAGTAAATGTAACATAATTACTTACATGTTCATTAAAAGTAGTTTCAATCGACAAACAATTTGTGTTACTATGTGAGGAAGTAAGATTAAAATGATTTTCAAGATCTCACCAGGCGCCATCTTCGTGAAATATGTATATTTCAATTTCGCGCTACAACAAACAAATTTAATGTCCCCCTTGAGACGTGGAATTCACTCAAAATATAGAAATAATTTCATGTTGATGTTATGATGAATAATAAACAAATATGGCATTCATAATTTAGGTTGAGTGTCATGGATTCAAACTCCTGTAGGGTCACCTTTTATTTTCTTTTAACACTTGTATTTATTTGCCAGTCAGATCCCATTTTGAAAAAAAACCGGTGTGAAAGGTTAATTACTTAATTATTTAAGGTATTTATTGGATTCATCAGTGCACTTTGTACCTTATAACAAAATTAATAAAACTACACGGCAAAATTTAAAATTTGACAAGACCACTAGTTTACTTTTGAGAAAATAAGACATTTATAAAACTTTAAAACGGCCCCTCCATTGGATAATTTTTAGGAATTTTAGGCAGGAAAATGGTGAAAAAGGTGTTTAAAATGAGTGGAGTAGGGCAACAGTTTCATACATATTTCAATCATTTGAAAAAAGAAACAATCAATTTGCTTCAATTAGCTGAATGTTATTATTTGTTTCTTAATCATAATCAATAAGAAAACGTTTTTAATAATGATGATATTATGGATTATTTAGAGATTTCTTATTTCCTAAAAACAGCCTATCTTATATTCAAGCATTTATTCAGAAAACTATCCATAACCCATAGAACATACGGTAAATTTTGTTTAAAGTCTGTATGGAGGTGTCCAATAAAACATTTAAATGACCCACGTTATCAATTTGTAAGCTCCTTACAGTGCTTATTAGGGTGGTCATACCTCTTAAATAATTAGATGCTGATTTTCATCTCTCATAATTCTTATATCATTGAATACATTCTACTTGCCACTTACAGATTTTAAATGAAAGAATATAATAAAGAATGACCAGTGCGGACGCAAACAATAATCAGACCGAATTCAGCAGTTCCCCCTCTAAACCGAGAAAACCTCTACTTCACAAAGACCAAGGGGGTCATCCTGGTTGTGGATGATCTTCAGAAACTTTCCTGTCACGTGCTGAGCACATGGGATCTTTACAGGTAAAGACGGCGATGCTGGTGGTCCGACGTAGTATGCGCAGTCAGTTCCGTTATTGTTGTCTGAATCTTGTCGGGTAGGGGAAATCAGTAACCGCAAATTCGCATTCCTGTAGTCTACAAAAAAAAGTAATAAAACACAAATTTCTTACACATATTTTGTGATGAAAACTTAACTGGGCATATACAGATAAAAATTAGCAATTTTGTTTATGAAAAAATCATTATCATAAAACTACTTACTGAGTTGTGAGGAATTCCTAAAAAAGATGATGACATGGGACACTTCTGCAAAACGCTCAAATTCCATTCCCCAATAAGAAAAGCCACTTACAGTATGAGCACAGTATATTTCATAAGTCACCTTATCGTTATTGTCGCGGTTACCATCTATAGCAAAGCTTGCTGCAAGTGGTCCATTCACGTGCACGTGTGTAGATTGCTGCCACGCTTCAACAGCAGGAACAAAACGATCTGGTACAAAAAATAAACACACTTTTTAAATTCGGTTCGACTGAACATTTTTTTCAATTACAACGTTTAGATTTAAAATATAGGGCGTTGTTGTAGACAAAAACATTTGGGTCAAACACTGTTTCATAAATTTAACCAATGATAATAATAATAATTATAATAATAATATTAAAAGATAAATGGAAGACTATACTTGGTTCTAGGATATTTTCTAGAGAGGATCGCAAAATTTTGACTTAGGGTTATCTATATTCAAGAGAATGTTAATAATTTAACATTTTAGTTGGATTTTTTTCAGACAGGATGATTAGTCTCATTTTTGTTGTGTGGAGATCTTTACGTAATTTTCACAAAATAATATCAAAATCGGAGACTTGTTCGACATATTAGCCTAGTTCCATGACCCTACTTTACTCGATGTCCCATGATTCCGCATATAAAATTATTATCTGCGCAGTAATTGCTTCGCAAAAGAATATTCGTTTTTGTTTTTTAAAATAAGTGGAATTTAATTTACAACGCCATAGAGTTCATATGGCGACTTTCCAGCTTATTTGATGGAAAAAGACTTCGTCCCTCCGCGTGCATTCTTTTCAAGTACAAGCTGACACATATATTGAATCACTTCCTCATATGAAATAATCCAAAGTCTTTGAAAGGATTTGAACCCACATTATTGATAGGAAAGAGATTTGAAACCGGTAACATTAGTCCCCAGTATTACATTAAAATTTCATGTATATGACAAAAATACAGATAGATTAAGTGAAAGTCATTTCACTAAAAACAAGGTCTGCAAAAGTGTTCTAAAAAGAAGACCTATACTCATAACTATAAGATTTGAATAAAATTTTTGCCTTAAAGTACACACAACGGCGACATAGAGATATAAAAAACCCTGTCTGTCTATAAATGATTATCAGTACACCATAACACAGACAACTATAGTGATATCGACATCGCTTTTCTCAATATTTCGTTATCTCGATGAAATTTTTAAAGTCCCGATTTTCTTCCTTCTTTATCTATATTAGATATAGTTGTTTATTTCGAAAATTTTATTTCGATATTTTCAGTATCTCGAAGTAATAATTCAGTCCCAACAGTTATTTAAACAATATTATTCTTTGTTTATCTATACGTTTATCTCGACATTTCGTGATCTCGATATTTTTGACGGTCCCAATGAGAGTCGACTGTATATAATAATTCAAAGGATACGTACCATCATAATAAACGTTCCAGTCGGATTCGGTTTCTGTTGAAAGTGTCACCACCCCAGGAACGTATGCTGTTAGTTCGCAAACGCCCGTGTCCGCATTGTGGTTAACAGACGTACATTCATCTGCACCATTACATAATATCGCACATTGTATTATGCTTGTGTTTAAATGTTGCACTAATTTATCAGAATACCGTGCATTACTCGACGAGAGAGTAAACTGAGTGAAATTGTGGGTAAGGACTGTTTTGAACACAAAAATTGTTACAAATTCAAGGATCCAAATCCACCTCTTCTCAATAAACCACTCCATTGTATCGTTTTAAAATTCAATCCTCTTTACTCTATAACTAATTCTTCTGCATCGCTATCCTCCCGTCAACTGCAATAATTTCTTCTTTCAAACACAATAAGAAATTAACGCACTGTATTTAAAATCATGTGTGTGTAACGAAATTTCAAAATAAAAACGAATTTCTAATTTCTAAGTCCTTTTGTTAGTGAAATCTAGAGCAAAGATAATTACATCATACAATTTCGATTATTCAAATAATTAGAAACTATTGTTATCCGGTTCTATTCATTCGATACAACCCTGGCTTTTATTCACAATTAAAATCCAACGACTAAAACGTATCCTCTTTAAGTGTTTGCATTCTAGTTCTATCTTTAATTGCAATATATCTGTTGATGAGGCAGCAATTTAAATAAGCCTTCGGATAATACTTCAAATTGCGGAATGATGTTTACATTTTATTTCCAATTTTTACAATATGTATTGTCTAAGGACTCAAGGAATTGTCTTTTTCCCATTAATTTACAAAGTGATTTCTCAGTAGTCCTTGCTATACGTGACTTCCGTTTGTAATGGCAAAATACGTGCTCCGAGTCATACAAGCATGAAGATTCTTAACAGTTTAATTCAAATACCAATTACAGCATATGAATAATACATTTACAATAAGAATGTGCCGTAGCGGATTCAGGTCCGGGCTTGTGCTGCAGCCCCGAGCTCTGGTCCGATGATTATATTTTCAAGGTGGGATGTAATATTCTAATGTCAGTATCATACATATTGCTTTTGTGTATCGCCTAATCAAACATTTTATTTGAGTCATTTAGCTGTTAATATCCTCCCTTGGGACTTTGCAGAGATCTTAATCGGTCAATATGCTTGAATCTGTATATTAAATTGGCTCTTTACATAAAGATAAAAATCAATAAAGGCCGCAAAAAGATGCCCTTTGCAGAAAATATTTAATGCCTCAAAATAATTACGTTTGTTTATTCCGAAAAAAAACATTGAAAAGCAATTCAGACAGACAGAATGTTTTACAAATATTGCGTTGAACGTATTGCACTAAGATATTTTCTGAAAACTTGACTTTTTCCCTTCATTTTTAAATTATCAATAAAATGTCATATCATCCAAACAAAACATGTTCTTACATATACTAAAATACAATATTCTTTATTTAGTCATGGTTACATATAAAGTGAAAACAGACAATTTTACAAATAATATCATTAATAAACATATGTGGATGTAAAAAACAATTTATATAATACTAGACATGCAAAATATATTTCAAAACATCAAAGTGTCTGAGTTTATGAATTGTTAGACTTAATAGTTTTTTCGAGGGGAACAATGTAAAACTGAGCATTTTTGCCAGCACAAAAATGTGTTATATTTAGAATAATTGTACAATTCTATTTCCCCCAACTTATATATACTAGATATCTAGCAGTTCCATACTATAAAAATTTGAGACATTCAAATAAAGCTAAACAGAATCGATAGTGCGTAATTATCTCTATCGTCATCAGTCAATTAAATGTATACTCGTATATATAGTCACTATTGCAGAGCAAGCAAACAAAGCTATGCTTGCCCTATTAAGGAAAATTTAATTGTAAGCTCCACCATCATGATTTACAAATTGAACTATTTGAAAAGACAATCCAACCAGTTATATTATATATAAAAATATGAAAACTATTACTGTAGATTTTTGTGTTTGTTTCATAAAAGTAAAAATAAACTAATAAATAAAAACATTTCTCATAATTGTGAGTTTAGAATTCTTAATTAATTGTAACTGGAAGTAGCTAAGTTTTGATAAGGTTTTTGTTCTTAGGCTTTTTATAACTCTTAATTAAAAGTTTAGTTTAAAAGTTGTAGGAAGTAAAACGTATAAGGCACATTATGTGTAAAAATGCTTTTATTTTTATTTCTCAGAAATCTTTTTATAGTTTCCAATTAGGGACTTATTTGAAAATAACCAGGACCATCTTTTGCCTATGTTGCTTTTTTTGCAATTAATACTGTTATAATGATTTAGTATTTTGAATGGAAGTCAAGATACTATTTTGTTTAAATTTTGCTACTTTTGTGACAACTATTTCATGGTCACTGCTACTTTCTGCAGATGATAAGCATATAATATGTTCTGAAACCATTATTTAAACAGTTTAAAGCTTATGTTTGGCTTATATATGGAAGAAATAAAAAAATCTTTCTAAGGCGTAATGTGCCTTTAAATAAATGAAACATTTAGTCATAAAACCATACATCTCTAATTTGTGCTAATTTAGACAGAAAAAACATTGCTCTTTTTTACATATTTTATTTTCGCATACACGTGCATATAAAGTGCAATTAATGTGTTTGTTGTTTTGTTCTCATGTATGTTTCGATTGTTAAGTAATTACAAAATACACATGGTCACAAAGTAATACATTCACAAATAAAATTAAATGTATTCTTAAAGAAAACAATAAATAAAAGTATTGTTTAAATCTTCAATTAAAGATCCTGTCTTTAATTGCATGGAAATGCGCCGAAACCACAACCTATTTTATTACATAAGTTCGCCGAACCGGTAGATCGATGTTTTAAAACTCCTAAACAGAAGTAACAAAGTCCTTTTAATTAAGGCTTTAAAAACTCCTTATTACGAGTTACGTATTAACCTAAAAACACAAGATTTTGCATCAGACGGTTACATACCAAAACACCATTTAAAACGTTGTCATTTTATTAGAGACCACGGGACCACATACACGCATCGAGGACATGTTGTAAGGATTGTATTAAGTGACAATGTGACCACATATACGCATCGAGGACATGTTGTAAGGATTGTATTAAGTGACAGTGCGACCACATATACGCATCGAGGACATGTTGTAAGGATTGTATTAAGAGACCATGCGACCACATATACGCATCGAGGACATGTTGTAAGGATTGTATTAAGAGACCATGCGACCACATACACACATCGAGGACATGTTGTAAGGATTGTATTAAGTGACAGTGCAACCACATATACGCATCACATGATTCAAGGAGACAGCTCACGTTTTAGGCGAAATTGCAATATTTTAATAGGCGAATACACGATATTGTCTTCTGTAGAAATATCGTGTCGGCAGGTGGAAATCTTCTTTCGGTGTAGTGTCGTCGTGTTTTTGTCTCAGAAGGCATAAGTTGAAGAAACAATATTTATAAAAGTGTCGTTTCGATATGTCTTCGCCTGGACATATGTATGAAAATAATTATTCTTTTAGTTAAATTAACTTTTTTTTTTGGTGGCGAAGAGTCCATTTCGCGAAATATTCCTACAATGATTACGTCAGGTCAGCATATTTGCGCATGTCTACTGGAAGGTGGAGACATGACGACACAAAACACTATTCAATCCGTATCTTCGACTTTCGGGGTGAAGACACGTCGACACGAAGTGTCGATAAATTGACCAATTATTTTGCCTATTGAGACGAAGACACAACGTCAAGACAATTATAGAGCGCCGATACGAAGATTTATTATATACTTATAAATGAAATATTGAGAAATATTGATGAAATAAAATGCGTATTTTCATTTTCCGTATTTTCACTGTAAAAATTTATTTTTCACTACAGTGAAACATATTTTCCGTATTTTCACTGGTGTCTTGCCGGACTACTTTCTTTTAAATTCTGCCATTACACAAAATTTAAGGGAGAGTCTCTCAAATTTTATAGCAAAAAAGAGAAAAATATATATAATAAACAGAAAATTCAAGTTTTTTTCTATAAATACATGATTTATTTTCATCTTGTGGCATGAAAATTACCATATTTCACTCGTGGCTACCGCCACTCATGAAATATTTCTTTTCATACCACTCGATGAAAATAAATCATGTATTTATAGAAAAAACTTGAATATCCTCTATTTCTTAACGCCGACACGATATTTTACAGACAAATATCTTATGTATTCGCCTATTAAAGTATGGTTATTTCGCTTAAGATTTATTGTGTTTCCATGTTTTCGTACTCAAAATTCGAAGGCTGAGATAAGTGAGCATATGAATTATTGTGTCTCCGCCTTCGACTTTTGAGGGTGCCGATACGAAGACACAATACTATTTAGGCGAATTACCGATATTTTAATCGGCGAAGACACGAAATCTGCTTTTAATTATCGTGTCGACAGATAACTAGAAATCTTCGTATTGACCAATTATATATAGGCAGTGTCTTCGTCTCAAAATGCGAAGACAATAAAATTGGTCAATTTATCGATTCTTCGGCTTTCGGGGCTAAACACAACGACTGATGTCGTATCTCGATTACACAACATCTGAATGAAAAACGTATACGTGTTTTATCATCTAGGGGCGAAAACTTTGGTTGTCATTTTTTCTATACCGACAAGGAAACCAATTATTTTGCACATCAAAATAAATTATTTCCTATCTGGATCCGGTTGTTCAAAACATTGGTTAGTGTTAACCAGTGGTTAAATTCATTATCCTCTGGTTAAACTTTGTCCGTTGGATAAGTTCTGTTGCTCAAAACTTATCCAACGGATAAAATGCGTTATCCAGTGGTTAACTTTAACCAGTCCTATGACCACCGGATAATGCCTTTAACCAGTGGTTAGGCATCATCATTAAAACAGTCTAAACCATAAAAACTTGTTTGAAACCAGATTTTTCTTATAAATATATGTTTATTTTGTCTTAACTAGAACATTTCATATGAAATGCATAGGATTAAATTGAAACATTTCTGAAAAAGTGCTTTTAGAACCTTTTTCAACCTGAATTTGTTGTTGTTCAGAAAATTCAGTTAAACTGTCATAACTTTCTTATTTTTTAATAAAACATACAAGTGTCAGTACTCATTTTCTTAGTTAGAACATTACCAATCTAATGGAAGTAATTTCAATTCAAAATTTGGAAAAAAATTGTTTTTGAATTTTTTACCTATGTGTGTCTAAGGGAAAAATAGATCTATCGATACTTTTAGGCCTTTGATATACTTTTGTTTTATTCCAAAAACATGAAAGCACAAAAGACCGCCTTTTCCTCACGCTGACCAAATTCCCGCTCTACCTCCAAGTAGAAGAGTATTCAGCATTAATAAAAATTAGCGCAAAGATACGAAAACATCAGAAAGTGATAAATAACAAAAAGATGTATTTCGGACCCTACTACACTATCCAACTGTCGAACAATGAAATTTTATCCACTGGATAGCTGGCCGCTGGTTAAGGTTTAAACCAGTGGATAAGGTATCCATTGGTTAATTTTAACCAATGTTTTGAACAACCCGGTCCAGATCTCTTACATCAACTTGCTATTGACATAATACGAATTGCTAAATATGTATTTAGATATATCGACATTTAACAGTAATTTTGTGACATTTAATGGTGAGGGAAAATGGTGCAACATTTAACGTCATCATTGCGACATTTAACGGCAAAATATTTGAGACATTTCGGGGCGGTTTCGACATTAAGCGGTAATAGCGCGACATTTAGCGGCAAGTGTTGTTGCGACATATAGCGGTACCACACCCAAGGCTTTGATATTTGGCAAAATGTATTGCTTAGCGAAATCACAAATGTCACAAATCACAAAAGCGATACAGGGTCATGATGGTCCTCTTGTTAAAACGTTTAATAGCTGTTTGAACGTAGTGGAGCGGACATGAATATTTTGCCCGAGCAAAGGTCAAACAAATAGAAACACCTGTTTGATATGTAAGAAATATACATTTGTATTTGATTGAACGATGCAAAGAATCATAGTTAAGTGCATTTAAATTCTAATTATACTTGTACTCTCCTCATATTTCACTGGTAGTTCATTGTCTATTGAAATTTGTCATAAGAAATATCTATTTGTATTTTAAGTAGTATTAATTAGTATAAATTAAGTAATATTGGGTAACCTGTAGTATTTTGAAATTTAAATAAATTTAAGAAATATCATCGGCCTGAGAGGTGTATATCGGCTATTTAACAACGGTTTGGAGTTTTGATGCGTAGGAATTGACCACGAAGGCCGTAGGCCTGGGTGGTTAATTTTCTCGCATCAAAACGACAAAACCGGTGTTAAATAGCCGATATACACCTCTCAGGCTGATGTTATTTCGATTCTAACACGATAAAATAAGGAAAATCACTAATATTATTTTGCAAGCGGAAATAACTTCCGGTGCCGATTTTCGTAAAACGCTGTTCGATTTTCGCACCCTACTCCTGCGAAGATATAGAAATGAGCAGCTGTTGAAAAATATTGAGGGCATGATAAATAAGATAAGTGTTCCAATTCCTTCTTGTTCTGATATTCAAGAAAAACCAAAACTTAAAAGGAAGAGTAATGACGAGCAATACAGACATAATGCTAAAGTAATGGCTAAATTAGAAGATGTTAGCACATCTTTGTCTTCACAAGATATCGATAGAGCACGAGTTTCAGTTATAGAAGGTAACATTTTTTCATTTCGTTCGTAACCAATTTTATAAATTTGCGTGGCCTGATCAGTGTAGTCTAAGGTATGCACTATGTAAACATAGTATGGGCTCGATGTAACAGTAAATGTGTATTGAATGCATGTATAAAATATTTGCAAAGAGTTATGTACAGTATAATTGAAATGCTTTATTTTTATTTAGCAAAAGACCTTATAAAACGGAGGCAGAAGTTAATTCAACTGGCTGATGGTTCTGAGCTGGGTTGGCGCCTCGTGGCGGAGTATGAGTCGAATCCAATTGCGTCTGGCAGTGAAGACGAGAAGCGCATTTACAAAGCGGAGGCCAGGGCGAATAGGAAGGCTAAGGCGGATAAGGTCAAGAAGGCGAGAATAAGGAATTTGCCTTATCGTAGACGAGTCAACACGGGGGAACAGACGACTAGTCAGCCTCAGCGTTCTATGGGTTCTACAGGACAGACTCAGCGTACAGGAGCATGTTATAACTGCGGGGATTTTGGACACTGGAAGGCAGACTGTCAGCAAAACAGGCGTCCTAACAATAAGTTAAGTGTTTCTAATTGTCATATTTTTGTGATGAAAAGTCGCAAGACTGTATGATTGACAATGGACTTTCTGTCCAGAGAGAGGGTATTATGTTAGATACCACGTTAAATGTTGATTCTTTAGATTGTAGAGAAGCTAGTAACTTGAAGTCTGGTTGTCATAGTAACGATTATCCAGCAATTTTCGGTAAGAATTATATTTGCAATAATGTTGATCAATGTGAAATTTCTACTATTGCTGAAAAGGATAAAAATCATGTAAGTATTAATGGTTTATCGCCAAAAGGGCGTCTTAAGGAATCTTTAGAATACTGGAGAAAAATCACTTCAGATAGTTATTTACTTGACGTTGTAGAAAATGGATATAGGCTACCCTTTAGAGAAACGCCCCTGGATATATATTTAAAAAATAACAAGTCTTCAAGAGAAAATCCAGATTTTGTAGAATCAGAAATAAGCTCTTTATTGAGCAAATGTGTTGTCTCACAGGTTCAGAATAAACCAAGAATAATTAACCCTTTAACGGTCGCTTACAGTAAAACTGGTAAGCCTAGATTAGTTTTAGATTGTAGGCACATCAACCATTGTTTTCATTTGTTCAAAATTAAATTTGAAGACATTAAAGTCGCTCAACAGCTGTTTGACGTATCCAGTTATGTATATACATTTGATTTAAAAAGCGCTTATCATCATGTAGAAATTTTTTCAAAACATAGAACTTTTTTAGGTTTTTCTTGGACATCTAAGGGTAAAACAAAATATATGTTTAACGTCCTCCCTTTTGGCATAGCAACCGCAGGTCATATTTTCACAAAATTATTAAGGTGTGTAGTAAAATTTTGGCGATCTTTAGGTCACAAAGTTGTTATGTTTTTAGACGACGGCATTGGAGGTAATGCGGGTTTTCAGCAAGCTAACACTTCAAGTTTATTCATTCAGAAAACTTTAAATGAATTGGGATTTTTGATAGCTCAAGAAAAATGTAATTGGTTACCGTCTCAACATGCTAGCTGGTTGGGGCATGATTTAAATTTTTTGTCGAATAGATTGTTTATCAGTTGTAAGAGAATTAAACGTCTCGAATCATCTATAGATGTTTTGTTGTTAATGCCCAGGGCTGAAAATACACAACTTATTCAGGTGAGATCTTTAGCCTCAGTTGTAGGCCAGGTGATATCACTGCTTAGTGTCATGGGGACAGTGGTTTGTCGCAAAACGAGGTATTTGCATAAGTGTATAGAAAATAGAACAAGTTGGAATAGCAAAGTAAGTGTGACAGACAAAGCTTTACAAGAATTGTTGTTTTGGCGAGAAAATGCGTCGGGTATGAACAAAAAAGGTAAAATCTGGAAAGAAAAGTTAGTAGTTGATGCAGTCGTGTTTACAGATGCAAGTAGATTGGGCTACGGTGGGTATATTGAGTTTGTGAATACATTTGATAGTAAGGAAGTAAGTTCAGGAAGTAAGTATGCCCAAAACTTTGAGACTGGAAGTAAAGATTTTAAGAAAGTAATAAATTCGAACCTGGTGCCCGCAAAAGAAGTAAACATTAAGTCTCCGGAGGTAGACTCAATCAAGGAATCCTGGGAGCTGGATTCGAACAAAGCATGCAAGGTAAAATGTTTAAACCACAAGTCTTCAGTAGAAGACTTAAGAAATAAGTCCCCGGAAGTGGACTTGAATTTGTCAAGGGTAAAAGTCTTGAACTGCAAGACTCATGTAATGGACATTGCAATATCGTCCCCGGAAGAGGACGCTAATATAGATTCACCGGAAGTGATCTCAAGTTCCGTGTCTTTAGTATATGACACGAGGATTGACGGGCTCCCGGAAGTGAGCTGTCGTTTTAGTGGGTTCCCGGAAACGGACCATTTTTTCAAAAATAATGTTTTAGATGGGCATTGTATGTATGATAGTGATTTGTATGAATTTTCAGATCGTTATGCAGATTACGAACATGATCAAGGGTTCAGTGTTAGAGGGAAAGTATCACATTTAGTTGGCGCATGGCATGCGCAAGAAATAAAAAGTAGTTCTACATGGAGAGAATTAGAGGCAATGTATAGGATGTTGTTAAGTAATCTTCCGAAACTACGTGATAAGAGTATCACATTTTTACTGATAACAAAAATTAAGTGTTTATCCTTCAATCAGGTAGTAATGTCGAGCAATTACATGAAACTTGCTTAGATTTTCACAGAACATGTGATGAGAATCAAATTACATTTGTCGTTGACTGGATTCCTCGTTCGTTAAATAGTAGAGCTGATCATTTAAGTAGATGTTTAGACTCAGATGACTGGTATATAAGCAATCATGTATTTCCGTATTTAGATAAAATGTGGGGTCCACACACTGTAGACCGATTTGCTACACATTATTATTGCAAGTGTCGGAGATTTAATTCAAAATGGTGGGTACCTGGTACAGAGGGTATTAATTGTTTTGATCAGGTGTAGAAGAATGAAAATAATTGGTTGGTACCACCACCAAGCAACGTTGCTAAGACGATAGTAAAACTGGAAATAGAGAAGTGTATTGGTACACTTATTGTTCCAAAGTGGAAGTCTGCACCATTTTGGCCTTTATTGGTAGATACACAGGGACAATTTAAAGATTTCATTAAAAATACATTTGTGTTACCCTTTACAGGCGCAGTTTGTAGAGGCATGGGAAACAACGGTGTTTTCAGCAAAGAACCGTTTTCTTTCAGAATGATGGCATTGCGGTGCGACTGTACCAGCTAAAAGATTTAAATCTTTAACAGATAAAAAACGTATAGTAGAGTCAATTTTCAAGATTGTTTAATATGCTTAATATATTTTCAGGTGTTGGCCTAACACGAAATCTGAAAAATCAATTTCTGGATGCCGGAGTTCCAGTGAGAAATATTGATAATGTAGTGGGCAGGATGGCCGATCAAATTTTACATTCCAGAGCGGATGGAACTATTTCAAAGTATTATTCACATGTTAAACAATTTAAAGAGTTTTGTTCAAAACACGGATTTCAAGCTTACCCAGCTTTTCCTATCCATGTAGCGATGTATCTTTCGGAGTTAATAGATTTACATAAATCTGACACTGTTGTGTCAGCAGCGTTTTACGCAATAAGGTGGTTACATGAAATAAACGATTTAACTGATCCCACAAAGAATGCCATTGTGATATGAATGCTTGAATGTGCAAAAAGAACAAACTCTAAGCCTGTACAGAAGAAAGATTTTTATTGCCGGAACAATGAGTGAAACTTTGTGACTTATTTTCAACAACAAAAGACATTATAGTTTTAAGAGACTTAACAATGATTCTTTTGTGTTTTGCTGCTTTCTTTAGATATAATGAAGTTAGTGATTTACGATGTTGTGATGTTAAATTTTTTGCTGATTACATAGAGGTTTTTGTTAAGAAAAGCAAAACAGATGTATATCGAGAAGGCAAGTTCGTAGTAATTGCTAAAGGGGTCACTAGTGCGTGTCCGGTTTCTATGTGACAACGATACATGAATTGTGCCGGTTTGTGTTCTAATTCGGATATGTCTTTGTTTCTTCCAGCGTGCAGATCTGGTTCGAGATGTTTTCTTTTAAAGAAAGACAAAAAGCTTAGTTACTCTCGCGCACGTGAATGTATTGTTAGCAAGTTAAAATTAGTCGCGCCAGACATGAATTTGGGTACGCATTCATTACGCGCAAGCGGAGCTTCCGCGGTCGCGAACGCAGAAGGTGTTTCAGAACGTTGCCTTAAGCGACATGGAAGATGGAAGATTCTATTCAAAAGAGATTGTCTGTTTCTAAGACGTTAATGTTATAAACATATGTCTAATATACAAGTATACTATTAGATCTATTTCTGTATTTGTTCTCGAATTTGAATTTAAACAAGTCTCTAACATTTGTATTTGTTCTATCGAAGTCTTGCCCACTGCAACATTGTGTTATGTTATTTGTGAGTAGGCATGTTAAGACTTGGAAGTTCTGTACGTTACATAGTATAGTACAGAACATATGTCTTAACATGGCGGGATTCACAAATGCGCGAGTCATTTGTGCATAACGGTCACGTGGTATTAGGCTGTATTTGGCGGTAAAACAGAGCGGGTTTTCATTCTAGGCTTGACTTCTGTCCTTTCAAGGCGTAAATTTTATTCAAATTCGAGAACAATTCATTCAGCAATTTTGATAAGTTGTTTTGTATTTAAATGATGACATGTATATAAATACATAGAGTCTAGTTTAAGCTGTAATATTTTGTTTTATTATACATTATTGTAATTAAGTACGATCATCATCTTATGTAAGAAAAGTAGCTTTTTAAACTAAATTTGCATGCTAGGACGTAGTCCGTAGATCCTACATTCGGAGGAATGGACGATTCAAATCGCTCAGCCAGGCGTTCTTTATAGCTGGCGGTGCTGGGGTTGTGCGCATGAACTCATGCCTTAATGCCAGCGTTGACAGGTCGAAAGTTCTCCGTGTTACAGACACACGTTTTTTCCCTCAAAAAAGAGGTTTCGGTTCGTGGACGGCTGCCATTCCGTAGATGAATATCCATCAGATTCTGTGGTTTATGTTGTAAATGTTGTAAAAGTAACCGCAGAGTGATTTGGAGCATGTAATATTTAATATCAAAATTTATTGAAGTATTAAGTTTAATGCAAGTGCATTTATTGAGATATTTAATTCAATATGTATGTATATTCTTAAATGTAAAATGTATTCCTCCAGCAATAAACTTGAATAAAGCCTATCGAAGTCTTGCCCACTGCAACATTGTGTTATGTTATTTGTGAGTAGGCATGTTAAGACGAAATATTTCGGGCAGTTTTAAAAACAGTATTTTTTATATATATAATATGTTTTTCGTCATCACTTTTTGTCTTTATCATATATATTATAACATTAAAAAATAGATACCAAAAACTGCATTTTAGGAACAAAGATGATACAAAAATGAAAAAAGAAATGAATAAAATGATAAGTTTTACCTGTCGCAAAGTAATGTAATGTAAAAGATAATGTTCATAATTATTTTTGTCGGCCATCTTGGACGCAATCTTGGATTTTTCAGTCCAATTTAGTAATCTTCGAACCTAACCTGACATTTTGGTATATGAAACCCCTTTTAAAAGCAATTTACAATTAGTTTAAAATATGATTACTGTCCGGTACTGTTAGAACGAAATGATTTGTTTTCCGAAAAGATGAATTGAGCCGTGTCACGACAAAACCAGCATAGTGGAGCCTTCGCCTCCATGCTGTTCGTTACCAGTTTCTCTACTTGTAATAGAGTTTGTAAGCGAGCAGCGGATGCGCAGCTGGTCTGGATCCGTGATGGTCGCAAGCGCATTACGTTGGTTTTGTCATGACGCGGCTCAATTATTTACCATTGCTCTGTTAAAATCATATGACCCGTCACAATACCATTTTATTTGAATTATTTCATATACAATGTATCTCCTTGTTTCTTGAATTCAATCATTCAGAGCTGTCTCTCTATTCAAA